CTCTCTCTCTCTCTCTCTCCATTTTATATACATACTAGCTCAAGCTTCATGAGTATCCCTTGAGCTGTAATTGGCAGAGTCCTTTGCCTTTTGGATAGATGTGTGGAAAAACACAGGGAAGACTGAGCTGGGTGTACCTGGATAAGGATTTTTCTTATTGGAACTGCTAAGAATTTGCATCCAAGGCTACTCATATTCTAATGTAAGTGAAAAAAAAATCATCCAGTGACTTAAATATGAATCATGAGCATTTGATGGTAACATGCTTTGTTTTTTTTTTTTTTGGAAAGAGGTACAGGTAATTGACAAGTGACCCTAGTGAATAACTTAAAAGTTCTATTTTTGAGGGTTGATGAACTTAAAACATAAATAGCAGTAAGCAATAACATAAAATTTTGAGAAATTACCACAAATCCACCAAAATTTTCTTTGTGAGTACTGAAGCCTAGGAAATAAAACCCAAAGCACAACTCTGGCATGTTTAGAAACCTTGCTGGTTTTAAAAGGAGAGGGATAATTGGCTGTGCAGAAAGCATGCGTCAGGTGAAACCAAAACACCAAAGCACATTCCTTCAGTGTATATTCACGAAGGGTGAACACTAGCACTCATGCTGACTAATGCGACCAGGGAAGCTCCCGGCAAAAACACAGGCATCTTTTGTGTGTTCGTGTGTTACATCACTTGTTATTGTATTTGAAAGTAACCAGGGGTTGGAGAGATGGTCCATCAGTTAAGGGTACTTGTTCTTTCTGAGGACCAGAATTCCATCACCAGCATCCTTTTTGGGTGGCTTACAATCACCGGCAAATCCATCTCCAGGGGATTTAGTGCCTTCCTCTAACCTTCGCAGGTATCCATACATGTGTAGCATGTACTCACACAGACACATACAAATACATAAAAATGCACATCTTTCTTTAAAAAAAGAAATCAGCTGATTAACTTTTTGGTTATGATGGGGATCTTTAGATCTGGGAATTATTCAAGATTGTCAGTTATATAAGAAGATGGTCTACAGAGTGAGTTCCAGGACAGCCAGGGCTATACAGAGAAACCCTGTCTCGAAAAACCAAAAAAAAAAAAAAAAAAAAAAAGAAGATGGTTTGAAATGGAACATTTAAAATCTACAATGAGGTAGTCCAGGTACACGGGAGGCTGATGAGACAAGAGGATTGAACTTAGGTTTTTGCAGCCAATCTGGGTAATATGACAAAATCCCATCTAAAAAATAAACAAATTAAAACCCCCAAAACAAAATAAACAGACAAACAAAAACAACTTCCTCCCAACCCACCAAATGGGGTTTGAAATGTAGCTTAGTTGGCAGAGCGCTTGCCTAGCATGTATGG